AATCTTTTACAATGCGCAATGTATGCAATGGGAAAATAATATATTTGCAATGGCTTAAATATTAAAAACCAAATGATCTAAACCAAATTTCATGTCCCCCCCTATACCTTCTAATAACACAAAACATTATCCCATTATCGAATTGGAATACTAAGTAGTTAATTTAAAATGAAAGTAGGTTTCCACGTTTGATCCAAGTTTCGCCAAAATATGAAATCCAGTAGGTATACGTGTTATTTGACGACTTTTCACAACCCTATGGATGAAGTGGATTTTTGACTTTGTCATAAGCTTGAAAATGAACCTTGGCTCGAAATCTTAGTCACTGACTAAATACGTATCACTTACAGTACACCAGATGTTAACCTTTTAATAATTTGTAAAAATCATGATCCAGAGGCTAAACATGTTTGAAGTACAGGGTGATTCAAAAGTATTGTTACTCTTTTGGAACTCTATAAATAAAAAAAAATATAGGCTATCATCACGGGATGAGAATCTATTGACAGAGGGGAATTAAACTTTGTTTGACACCACTTTGGTAAATATAGTTGCAAAGTTAGCCTCTACAGACAGTTTTTAGATTTTAACTACGATTTTAAATTAAGTACACACTTCTACCCCTCTGGATATAAAAATTTCATACTCTATGTAAAAATTTTCAACATTTTGTTTTTAAGCAATACCATCAGGGATCAATTAGTTCTATAATTTACCGCTCAGTTATTGTTGTTCACCATTATTGTAAGCTGCGGGGAACATGACTTCAAACAAACATAAAGTGCTCTGTGTTTTATAGTTTCATTGATTTTAAATTATGTAATTAATTTAAAATATTGGTTAAAATATAAAAATGTCTTTGGAGGCTAATTTTGCAGCTATGTTTACCAAAGTGGTGTCAAAGAAAACTTTAGAATTTCCACTTTCAATTGATTCTCAACCCGTGATAATAGGTTGTATAGTTTTTCATTTATAGAGTTTAACAAGTTTAACATTAATTTAAAATGACCCTGTATTTTATTCCTACCCATTTCTATGAAATTACTTGAGTTATTGTAAACGTATTGTTAATTTTGTATAAGCAACAAATGGAACAACTGATTCGTATTGTAATTTTATTGTAAAACAGTTGCCTACATTATTGAACCCTTGATATCCTGATCAATTGATTTGAAAATTCTTATAGTTTTTAAAGCAGCGCTATATATTAATTGTACCAACTAAATACCATTCTTTGTATTCACGTTGCTTTCGTAGTGCTGTTCTTTTTCTAATTTTTTCCACCAGATACTGAAGAAGAATGAAATTTTTAATGTATCTGTATCGGCCAAAATTAAAAGTGCCATGTCGTAAACTGTGTTGTGTTTGTCTCAAACCCGATAAACTAAGCTTGTGTTGTAGTCTCGTAAAACTTGTTGTCGAGACTGAACAAGCGCTTGAGTTGAACTAACCATGTAGTTAGAAGGCTATAGTCTAGAATATTACAATAAAGGAAATTGATATTTGGTACTCTGCAGGGGTAACTAAACTTCCTTGAAACTTTATTTCATGAATGTAAATGTTTACTGTAAATTTTATATTCAACTATGAATCATACGACTTCTACTCCAATATTAGGAGTAAAGAATTTGTTTGGTTATCAACAAAACTTGGTAAAGAAATCTTTACAATTTATGTGTTCATTTCCCGACTAAAGTTAGTTTTAATCTCACTTTTAAGCTCATACTCTACGGGTAAAACTAAAAAATAAATTAAATGAAATTCTCCTTTATTAAAGAAAAATTGGGATTGAACTAGCATAACTGACGTAAACATGCGAACAAAATAAGAAGAGAATCTTACACCCTTAACATTATGTGGAATATATTTCCGTGAGAGAAAATGCTGGTAACATAAGTGATGTGAGTATTTGTGAATTAAATTGTAAAAATACAGAAATATTATCATACGTGTGATTAAAATGAGGTCTTGCCAAATGTATATATATTTAATTATGTAAGGTGATTATTTGCGTCAAAAGTGTGGGCGACTAAGAAGTTGTAGAATGACGAGAGAGGGCTCAAATTACAGGGCTTTACCCTGTGACGGCGGGAAAATAGTTCAATTAAAAAAATATATAACACCAAAAGCCATTTACATCAGGTTTTTGTGTACTTCAATCCAGCTGATCTTGATTTATCATTTTCAAGAGTCAAGAGTCAAGAGTATTTATTCCATTGATCTATAGCAATACAGAAATAGGAACAGTCAAATATTCTTACTAAATGCTAATACATTAAATGAAAATTAACTGATAAAAACTATGTACAACAGGTTAAAACTTAACATTAAACTCTGACATTTCGAATTCATCAAGCGAATAAAAAGGGTTTTCAACTAGCCAATTTTTTATAGTTTTTTTGAAGTGATTAAATGGGATGAGTTTTGCAGTTTGGGGAAGCCTATTAAAAAACCTTACACAGTTGGCTTTAAAGGATTTACCTGTTTTGGCCAACCTGTGTTGGGGTAGATCCAGCTTAGCCTTGCCTCTCGTGTCATGTGCATGAAAGTGGTCTCTGGTGGTGAAATCTGAAAGGTGTAGTTTTGTGTGGATAAGTACTTGGTATATGTAAAGGTTTATTACTGTCATGATATTTAGTCTGATAAACAATGGTTCACAGTGTTCCACTTCATCCACTCTACACATAGTTCTCAAGATTTTCTTTTGAATTATGAGAATGTCGTGTACGGCACTAGAGTGACCCCACAAAACTATTCCATAACAAATATGTGATTGGACAAAAGAAAAATAAGATATCCTCAAATACTCATCCCTCACACAATCTCTAAGTTTCCACATTAAAAAAGACACTCTGGAAATTTTCTTACAAATGCCATCTATGTGATCATTCCAATCAAGTCTAGAATCTAAATGAAAACCAAGAAGCTTTACTGATTTATAGTTACTTCTACCTGCCATGCTTAGCAATAAATCTTGAGTTTTATCATTATTGCAAAGCAACTTATTTGATGAAAACCATATTTGTGCAGAGTTGTAAGCATGATTTATGTTCTCCTCAAGAGTTTTCAGATTGGAATGTGATGAAAGTAACGTTGTATCATCAGCATAAATGACTGTCTGAGAGGGTATGTTGTAAGGTAGGTCGTTAATGAAAACTATAAAAAGAAATGGTCCAAGAACAGAGCCCTGGGGAACACCAGTTGTTACAGTTAATGTTGTTGATTGGCTAGAATTAAAAGAAACATATTGTTTACGATTAGACAGGTAGGACTTCAATAAATTCAGAGAGTTGTGTGAGATGCCGTAGTAAGAGAGTTTGTCAAGGAGAATACGATGTTCAACACAATCAAAGGCTTTACTCAGATCGCAGAGCTTTAGAGACACTGATTCCTTATTTTCAAAAGCAGTAAGAATGTTGTCAACCAGAGTAGACACAACAGTGGTTGTTGATTTCTTTGATCGAAACCCAAACTGGTAGGGACTAAATAGATGGTTTATGTGGAAGTGATGATTAAGCTGAACTTGTAGGAGTGACTCAAATACCTTAGAGAAGATGGGAACAATTGAAATTGGTCGATAATTCTGTACCAGAGCCTTATCCCCTTTTTTATAGACAGGAATCACCTTAGAGACTTTTAGTAAATCAGAAAAATAGCCCTGAGTCAAACACTGGTTAAAGATGAATGCAAGAGGCTCACTAATATACATTATGGTTTTTTTTTTTTGAAAAAATTGTTAAAATGGTTTGGATCAATTGTTATTTTAGTGTTGTTTGTATGTGATTGTGTTTCTAAAGAAATCACCTCCCATGCGGCTTTACACTTATTACTTGAGTTTTCAATATAATTTTCATACGTCTGCTTCTTAGCCATTTTAATATTATCCTTGTATTGCTTCTTAAAAAACAAGTAAGCCCTGTAAGCCACAACAGTATGGACCGAGTGATCTCTTTCAAAGCACTTATACACATTATGATAACCTAGCATTAGATCTCTAGATTTTCTTAGATCGTCTGAATACCAATTAAATTTTTGTTTGGTTGTACATTTACTCTTAGATGATACTAAAGGAGAAGCGAAATGCCAAAGATTAACATACTTTTTAAAAAATAAGTCAAACAAAGCTTCTACATTTATCTCATTACATAGATAGGAGCTTATCATTTCCCAATGATCATTTTTTAAACACTCAATAAACAAGGAAATTTGTTCTTCATCTTGTCTGCGAAAATAATGTTTGATTCCAGATTTATCTGAGTTAATTTCTACATGTTTCTTTCTATCTATTTTATAATTAATAAGAAGAGGATCGTGATCAGATAAACAGGATTTCATAACTTTTACATTGTATAGATCCTCAGAAAAATTAACAAAAACATTATCAATACAAGACTTTTTTCTGGTTGGAGACAGATTGGTTACAACTAAGTTATATGAGCGCAAGATATTAAGAAATGTGACGGTAGTAGGTTCGGTAATTTGATCAAACTTGATGTTGTAGTCACCACAAATAATAATTTTTGTACCTCGCTTATGAATTTGTTTGACTACTTTCTCAAAGTTGTCAAAGAAAATTTTAGTATCACCATTAGGTGGTCTGTACAGTGATATAATGACGAGATTTAAGTTCTTAAGCTTTATACAAGTTATTTCAATATTACGCTCTGAATTGAACATATTTACATCAATTTCACAATACTGTAAGCTAGATTTTACATAAATACCAGCACCACCGTTTTTACAAGTTTTACGACACATAACACTTGCAGCAGTGTAGCCTATAGGAACAAAAAATGGAACTTGTATTTCTTGCAACCAATGCTCACTTATACAAAATATATCTATATTTTCAATATTAGCAATGTGTTCTAATTCTGTTACTTTATTTCTAATACATTGAATATTTATTTGTATAATCTTCAGAGTAAAGCTAGCATCACTTTTTAGATTACCTTTAGTTATGGCATAATTCTCTGATATATCATTCGTATTATGTTGCATTACATCCTGTTGTCTAAAAAAGTTGAATTTACAACATTTTGGTTTGGTGTGCTGTGAAATTGGCCTAAAGATATATTGGAAAACCTGCAATTTGAAGGTGGTGACAATGGTGGAAATTCTGTTGTTGAGTCCAGATGAGGGGGTGGTGGAGAACCGCAAGGCGCCACACTAGGCACATCTCTCAGCTCAGGTGATGGTGATGGAAACTGGCATGGAGAAGTGTAGGACTCTGTTGTCATCATCTGCTGCCGAGATGATGTGGATAGTGGAGGGGCTCGACTCGGGTCCGTAGCAGGCATCATAGACACAATAGTCGAACTGGGTGGAGTAAGTGGATTTGGTATATATTTTGGAAGTCCAGGAGGTACAGAAGGTGTGGACAATACTTGATGAGCCAGAATGTCTGTAGATGGCGTTGAATTTCTCACGTTCACGTTGTTAGGACATGGTTCAATGAGTGACAGATTGACCTCAGGTTTCTTGAGTTCCCGTAGTCTCAGTTCGGTGGCTTGAGTACTTTGCAGTGCCAACATGTCAATTATACCTTTACTTAATATTTGTTTTCCTGATCTGTTGAAGTGGAGTCCGTGACGTGTGAAATGACACCTTTTTAGTACTTCATTCAAATCCGCATACATTATTCTCTGTTTACCCCTATTGTTTATAACCTTGCTAATCATTAGCTTGTTAGCATAGGCAATGTCCGCATTAAGTTCTGGTCTATCATGCCGCAGTGGGACTGTATGTATGATGGTATTTGTTTTAACATCAATTTCCAGTAGAGTTTCAACAGCTTGTGACACTGAAAATGGACCAACTTCACCAGGACCAAAGTCATTAGAACCTGCGAGGATTACTAAATGATCTTCCTGTTTTAGTTTATCGATCATTGGACGACCCGCTTCAATTACAGTCTTTAGTCTTGCTCCTGGTTTTGTAAGTACAAAAACCTCATATTTATCCTATAGTTCATGTAGATATGAGTTTAATCCCTTCCCTTGGCTATCACTGAGTACAATAACTTTTTTCTCTGTTGTTTTTTGTTGTTTGTCTTTTGATTGTTGGGTTTATTAGATAGATTGGGTCTTGATGGGTTATGGATTTCTGCAACTACTCGGATTTTTTCAGAAGGTGGTAGAATAGGAGATGTTAATGTTTCAATATTTAGTGGAGAAAATCGGTTGTAAGTTTCAAATGAGGGGATAGCTGTGGTTATAGCCGTGCGTGTAGAAATCTTGGGCATTTTGTAATCATCATTAATTGTTTTTTTCTCACGCAGAGAGATAATTTCTTTATCTTTTTGCTCGATTAGTTGATTCAGCTTTTTGCAGTCCAAATCAAGTAGATCAAGCATACACTGTTTGTTTTTAATCTCATCTCTAAGAATTTTTTCATTTTGGATCATAGCTTGTATTTTAGATTTTAGATTGACTATCTCATTTTCAGATTGTTGTTCACAGCATAAAGATTCTTCCATTATTGCTCTTGTTTTGTCTTTTTCACGATCTAGTCTTGATTCAAGTAGCTTGTTCTCGTTTGCCAGATTTGTTAAGGCTCCGTTTAAATCCGAAACAACTTTGAGACTAGCATCTAATCTGCTCAATAATGTAGTTACTTCCGGAATGATTTCAGCAATTGCCTCATTTGAGTATTTATTAGCAGTTACATTTAATATACTATGGATGCGGACTGCAGCATCGCACACTTCTTCATTTAAAAGCTCATCTTTCATATTTTCTAGATTGTTTCTAGCGGCCCGCTTTAGGTTCTCACGCGTTCTGCGAGTGATCATTGTTAGTCAAAGCTATGGGCGCCCTAAGTATGCAACTTTGTGACAGAAGAGTACTGCTAGAGTGTATTGCCACAGTTGAAGGGGCACCAAGGGTAGATCGTTTTACGCTCAACAGAATGCGTGGGCGTTCACTCCAAGCACTAATTCTCAACCCGGAAGATTCCCACAATATTGTTTCTTTACCCTTCCGCTGACAACCTGTAGACCCAAGTGCGCATGCGCGGATTTAAAAGTTTGAAAACAAACGGCTGGTACAGAAAGCGGTTTGAAAACCTAATCAACAATTAAAAATATGTCTTTTAAACTGAACGAATAATAAGTACTAGATCAAGTCTGGTATGAACTTACAGTCTTATAAGTCACGTCACTTTAATCCGCACTACAAAACAATCTTCTAAGCGCACTGCGTATATTAATCAATGAATTTATTCGAAAATTAACTGGAGCAAAAACTCATAGGTAGTTAACTCATGGCTCCACGATTGCCAACCCGCACTGCCAGCATTGCCAGTGCGTAAATATTGTAAAATTGCGTAAATATTGCGTGCCAGTACGCACGCAATATTTACATTTGGATTACTTATTTGTCTGATTATTATTACTTACTGATTAAATTCTGCATTGTACCTTATACTATATAGACTAAAACCAGGGATAAAGTTACCTGAGACTTTCATACATTATATTACCATGCATTTGAAAATTTGTGTATTTTTATGTAAATTATTTAAGCGTTAATCGGTAGAAACATGGGAGATGGCACAATACCAAGGAATTAAACTTAGAATGGCTGATAAAATAATGAATAAAAAAGTAAAATAATTGGCTTAAAACTAAAATAATAACAATAATTAATTAGTTTTAAAACACTTCAGCTTTGTTTTTTTTTTTTTTTTAAACACATATATTCACGAAGTAAAGAAAATATTTTACTATGTTAACAGTTTTTCAGATTTGAAGGTAATTATAGTGTTGCAGGACTTTTTAACATGAAATAACCACATTGACTAAATTATCAAGGATTCCAGATTAAATGGAAAATGTATGCTGTATTTTTATTTTAAAACATATAATATTGTTTAGTGGAGATTTTAACCAGGTACTGCCTGTTGCACCAAGACAAAAAATGTAAAAGAAATATAGCTTTGCATGCATAGTATGAATAGTAAAGGGACCATTTACGTATTAACAGTAAAACCTAGAGGTAGTTTCCGTTTCTTAACGTTCCTAAATCAACCAAAAATGTGCATGTCAATGCTGATGAAAAATAATTTCGTGATTGGTTTCGATAATTGGGCCATGGAACGCTAACTAGGCAAAAGAGTTAAGAATCTGCCGATGATAAGATTTTTTTTAACTATTAATAAATATAAGTTTTCAAATAAAATTATAATTCATCTCTTGAATGAAAAATGTTATACTGATAACAAATAATTACTTAAAAATGCGGACGAAGAAGCAATTGAATACTTCAGTGTGGTAGTAATATTTACACCAATGGTCTAAACTATGAACCCACTGAATTTTAAATAGGCCTATTTTAATAGAATATATAAAGTCAAAGAAACTTTTAGAGGTATACTACCACACAAACTAACACTAAGAGTACAATAGTTTCTATTGTTGTGGGGATCAGAAACAAATCTTGGATTAAGTTTGTTTAATACTTTTACACAGATTTTTTAACCTTAAAAAAGGAGTATACATTTTAAAAAGTATAACTTGGTCGGAGGGCTAATTTAGCGGGTTTTACCGATAACGAAGGTAATCTCACATACCTGTATGTGCCATTTCATATTTCAAGAATACAATTTCCAAAATTCTAATCAGGGGAGCCTTTTTTTATTGTCTTAACCACAAGACCAAAGCTACCTTAGTAAACCAGTCCCTTCCACAAATAATATACGTGCCTAGCAGAGTTAAACCTCCTGGAATGATTAAAGTTATTTATTGAAGTAACATCAACAAAAGCATACAAAGTGACTGTTTCTACACAAAAGATATGGTGTACAGGGGTATCTATCCTGATTAAATATCATAGATATTGGACTGAGTTTGATTAAACATTATCAAAATAATTTGTTTTACATCTGAACTTCTTGTGGACTTATGTTCCTACAGTCAACTAATTTTCTTTATAAGGTACTGTTTTACAAATTTATATAAGATAAAAATATTAAACTCTCCATTGTTCTCAAACTCTATAAAACACTCATTAGCTCATAAACTCCGTTCTAGAGCTTAAGGAAGGGTTTTGGGACTAAAGTTCGACAATATCCGAAAAATGGGCTTTTGTTTATTTTAGTTTAACTTAAACAATCAATAATTTTATTAATACTTATGAAGTCAAACTGGGTTAAACCCGTGGGTAACAGCTAGTTATAATGATTTAATTTTTATGTGTAATTTCATGAGTACCAATCCTTAAAGGGAAAAATTCAATAACTTTACACTTAAATAATTTGACTTTCAATAACCACACAAATACTTGTGTAAATAAAAAAATTATTTTACGAATTACCTATTAGTGATTTCTATATTATTTCTAATTAATTTTATATTTTTTTACCTAAATTAGGATTAGGAGAATATGTTTTTTTGCAAACCTTCTGAGTGTTTTATTTACCAACGAGGACGTTTGCTTCCACGCATTCTGTAATTTAAACTATATTCTTGTTATAATTGCGGATTAAAATTCTCTATAAAATGTTTGAGATCCCAACAAAATTGTAATTTACCTTTTAAGGCTTTATTGGACGATTGTTTTGGTTCATACGTTTAATCCACATTAACAGTGTTTAAAACGCTACTAAGGGAGTAAGCGGGGATTTGCGTAAATAACTGTGGTTGTGTCCAGTTTGGTTTATGATACTGTTTTATTCACTCTGAGCCCTTAATACTCTAAGTTCTGAAACCCCTTGCGGACTGAATTGAATTTACATATACCCTTTAATATGAAGGGGATCTGCGTATTTAATTAAATTTAGCATATAACAAACTACACTATATATAAATTAGCATTGGTGTCAGCACTCATTCAACAGTGTAAAAACAGTTATTTCATTCAGTATGATATGAAATCCTTTTGAATAGCTTTATTTCATCTATAAAAAAGTGTTATGCATATTGTATAGTAATTGTTAGGTGTTTTAATAAAACATATATTGATATGGGCAAAGAAAGAAAACATTCTGATATAGTACGAGGTAATCTGAACCAAACTACCTCCAAACTACCAAACTACTAGGTAGTCAGCGGTAAACTATTAAAAAAACTACAAAATGTAGATTTAACTTATATATTTTAATGACAAAATTCACAGAATTAAAGCTATCAATATCTAAGAGATACGAAATATACTCGAATTGCAAACATTTGTCACCAGAACTAGTAAACAAACTTTAATGACTTTTTGGGATCTGGGACTTTTTACTAGACATGATGAAAGATTTCCTATGTAATATTCTAAGCTCTCTAAGCCTTTGAACGTAACTAATTTAGAAAAATTGCATTTTTGACATATAAAATTAATTATAATTCATTATAGTAGCTCCGGAACTGTATTATCCTAATTGGTTACATTACCTGTCGAACCAAACTGATCCCGATCGTGTAACGGCAACGCTGACAGGTCAATCAAACTAAAAGTATTCAATAATACCTCGTATGTTAAATGTATGTATCGTGTGTGTGAACCAACAACAAAACTTTACAAACGGATTTAATATTTGTTTCTAGACTGTGTGCTTGAAAATGGCAGCTTGCCGTAAAATGTATTTTAATGTAATTTAACTTAGTAAAATTTAATTTAATAAAATGTAACTTAACGAAATATAACTTAATAAGGGATGTAACTTAGTTAAATGTGACTTAGTAAAATGTAACTTGATAAAATGGACTTAATGAAATGAAACTTATTAAAAAATGTAGAGTATTATACATCGATGGCCGAAACATGTACTTATATGAAAGTTGCAATATGGAACTGATAACAAGTACTGTGGAACCAATTAATAAAGATAAATTTTCATATTGTAAAGAAACTTTTTAGTGAATGTCAAGTAAGTAAAATTTACCCCTTTGTGAGGAATCTTAAACTATATTTTCATAATAATGTGGTTGATCGTAGCACTTGACTTAAGATTTAAGATGGAATAAATATTTTATTTCACAGAGTATGCACCCAAAATTCATCATGACTGATTAAATTAAAAAATTTAAAGGATACTAATATTTGTTTAGGACAGAATCGGATTTTTTTCAAATAGTAGCACATTATTTTCAATCTCTAACTTTTTATTAGAATATGTTTTCATCCGAACGACAGATATTTGAATAGGATCATTTACCCAGTAAAGACACTAACCCGGCTCAATGTAGCTCTTATGAAAACTATCATCTGTTTCGAGCAAATATTAAAACGATTATTGATTATTTACACATACTCTAAGTAGTTTCAAGTTCATCTCTACAATTTGGCCACACTATGTAGGTTATTGTAGAAGGGATTGGGTGGTTGTATACACAGCTGTTGTGTTACACATCTATTGGGTAGTTTGTTGGGCAGAATGTAGTAGTCAACTTCAGGTAGTCCTCTCTCGCTGATGATCTCTTTGACTTTTCGCAGGCAAGACAATCCAATGGGTTGACATTTGGGGGAGAACCCAGCAATATAATCAGGCTCTTCCGCTAAAACAAACTTAAGATGTGTTGATTTATAGTTTATTTAGTTTTTCGTATTTTTCGTGAATTATTTATTGTCCCTATGCCATAATTAATCCGAATTTAAAGTTTTAATTTATAAAATACTCATCACAATTCAGCATTACATACTATAACGATCAAAGTGTACAGTTTCATTTATTTTTTTGAATTAATGTTTTTGAAAATTGCCAAAACGAAAATGATTAAAATGTAGTTTGCTATAGTTCTTTAAATTTTTAACAAAATGGTACAATCCCTATCACTATAAGGTTAAAAATTAAGGTTAAAAATTATGCAAATGCATGTAATGGATTAGTATATAATAACGGAAAATTTAGTATGTTGCGGTCCTTATAATTCTAAATAAAATAGTATCTCATATGATGTAAACATTATGGTTTTTGTAACTTATGTGATTTTCCCAATAAAACATAAAATTTACTTCCACCACCAGTTAAGCTTGTTGAAGCCAATGGGGGATAGTATGTGACCGATTTCTTATATTATTATTATATGAAAAACAAAATTAAGGACCCAATGGAATCTATACGGGTGTGAAGCTATGCATGTTTTACGTTTGACCTACATAGCTCAAACTTGCTTATTAGATATAGTGTTAACTTAAGTTATGACTTTGTAGTCATAACTTAGTATCTGGTTTTTGCTTTTTTATATATCAGTATTAAGTTATCAGTATTAGTATTCATTTCTTCAGTACTAATATACTGTTTATTTTATTACCAAAGCATGAATAACACTATATCAATCATATGGTCAATTGAATCAGAGCACAATCATAAGTATATAAGTGTCAGCATACTATAATACTATAATACTAAACAATAAACACATACTACCAGCTATTTTAGATAAGTTTATCTACCTCCAAACACAAAGCATCGATACACCAGGTAAGTATCGCAGCCAGCGTATCCAATGATGTAGTCACGGACCGTGCCGTAGGGATCTGCAAGGAAATACAAATGTCGTTAGTGAAGATATTTTTTACTTTTTTATTTTTAACAGGTTTTAGGAATAAAAAAAGGACAGATAAACGAATTGCTCAATAATATTAGACATATTTGTAAAGAATAATTCGAATAATTTGTGAAAGGAAATTTGAAAAAAGTTCTAATTAAAATACGTTAACAGCGTCTTAACTTATGACTTACTTGCAATTATAGACTGCCCAATGCCGATCTCGGTAGCAACGTTAGTAGTTACTGTGAACAATCCGTCACAGCTGTTAACAAAAAGGAAAACATTAGTTTTGTTCGTCGTATTTTACGACTGGGTTAATTTTCATTGTGATGTTCCCAGATGAAAAAAATACTATTGGTTCAAAATTCGATGTGCATATGCATGTCCATAAGCACCATAACTTGAGTAATTTTAGTCTTATTTTGTTTAATTTGTTTGTTTCTTCCCCATAGAGAAAATTCGTTACAAGTTGCGTCGGTAAATAAATAAACATTTAGTTGAATTACTTTACTTTTCTAGATCATAAATATATGTAAATGAAGAATAAAGTCATTTTTGGACGTTTATACATAGTTCATGCCACTTGATATGATGTTGGCCAGTCACTAATTCAAGTAGCGTAAAGGAATAAAATAATTTTAAAATATTTGAATAATTGTCTTTAGTAAAAACACAATTTCTTGAAAATACGAAATAAAAATAACACATACATTCTTCTACATTAGTCTTTAATAAACATAAAATGTTACTTAAAACTTGAAAAAAAATCGTTTTTAGGCCTATAAAGTATTTAGTCTTGTGTCCAACCAAAAAGATTTTGATTTGCTGATTAGTAAGAATATTTTACAAGGATACTAACCATGTTATGAAGTGTTTAGGTTGGATGAGCTTACAAATAAACTTAAACCAAACGATCTTTGTGAAATTTTGACATCTTAAAGAGTGAAAAACCTTTAAAAGTCAATTTATTTAAAATAGCAATGTATTCAGTAAATTAGTACATCCGCAAATGAAAATGAAGAGCAACTTAAATTTACAATGCATAACAACTTATTAGACTCTGGCCTCATAAATGGTAAATGTTGAGGGATCGTCTGGCAGAGGGAAGTACGTGTAACATATGTTGTCCAGCAGAATGAACTCTTCAGTTTTAGGAACAACCACGGAGAATATGGGCTGATCACAAAACTCCTGGAAATAGTTTACAAACAAGAGATGTTTGTGAATTTTTAATTTAATTAATCATTTTGTAACTAAACCTTCAGATAATTAGTGTTTGTATGTTTTTCTTCGAAAAAAACTAATTATTGTTAAACTTGTAACAAATTTGTAAACACAAGGCCTCTCAAGGGTAGATTAGTTGAATTTACACAGTTTATCTGTAAAAAAGGCTTATGATAGACAAAATAAGCTCAATATTATTATATTACTGTGTTCGTATTAGTGACTTATTAATTTTACAACAATAAGTGACGCAGGTTGCTAGTTAATTGTATTACGTTTTTTGTCTATAAACTATTTGCTACTATATTTTAAAAACATCTTGAAATTAATATGACTACTAATCTCAAATGGTTTTTTATTTACTTAATTTCTTAATCACTAATCGCCAATAAACACGTAACTGAAACTCCTAAAAACTATTATTGTAGCCATTTTTTAAATGTTTTAAACATAATGTTTTAAAAATACATTATTTACCGCTTATTATATTTATATATTTATTTTTATGAGAAGCTAGTAATAAAAATAAACAAATACTCACGTCGATGTAAATTTTTTTGGCTGGGTATTTTGAAGTGGAATCCAGAAGTTTAATTAATATAGTTTTACCAAAATAAGACCAATCTTTATAATATGTATCTACTAGGGTCAGAAAGATTTTGCTAGGTATATATAGAAACTTTTAGCTCCAATCGTAGATTGTTGATATTTTGTTGTGTTTACTAACTGTTTTACTAACTATAGAGCAGTTACTAAATTGTTTGTTACTAAAGCCGAAAAATATGTAGTGATCTTAATGTATTAAATTTTTATTACCAATTATGATAAAAAATGTTATTTTTCATAATACTTACTCCCCTCAGAGAATAATCTATAGTTTCTGGAGTGTAACACTTTGAAGAGCCGGCTTTGCTTGTAGAAAGACTGATCATTAGAGTTAGTAGCACGGATAGCAATCGACTCTTGATATCTGTCATTTTGTATCTACAAATATTCTAAATGTATTAGTTTAGTGATAGTTTGCTCACGAGGCATAAAACAATAGTACTGTAGATAGTAAATCTATATAACTTTGTACTTTTTTAAAGATTTGTATTCAAAACTTTTCCTAAGATGTTCTGAGTTAACTCATGTACTCCTTTTTATGTTGAATATTTCAAGAATGTACAATTTAATAATTATAAAACAAAAGGTTAATTCAACATGAACTTGTGTGATGCTGTGTATTTAACTCCAACACTTTGTTATTATTTGTTTATTCTTTGAACGATATTTTTTCTAAACAACTAATATAGATACGGGCTGCTTAAACTGTTACCCACTGTAAATTTTCAGTTCTGTGATGTGTGGTAAACTGGTAAAGATGATTAATATGAACAGGTAAAAATTAACAACGGTTTTCTTGTTTGTCAGCCTTCAAATATTGTACTGCACGTTATTTAGTTTACTTTTCATGTTAATATTTATATTTCACTTATCAACACAACACACTTTAACATCAAACATCAGTTCTATATTGCTGGTGTATATATACTCAGTACTCACTGTTGTTCGTAGTGGTTGTGACCAACACTTAACATCAACAGTGCATCGATTGCTAGTTAAACGTTTGTTTTTCTTATCATAGGAGAAAAATGATACCATGTACTACTTTCAGATACACTATCACATTTCATTAATGAAGTCTTAGACACCGTTATATTAAACTCTAGAATTCATTGTCATGAATAACTCATCGTGTAGTGATTTTCAAAATCGAATAGTTAATTGATATTTTTGTCTTAAACATTATTTAATCTTTTTAGGTAAAATAATACGGTTTTAATACAATTTTGTGTTCAACTTTATGAAAGTGTAAATTACAATATAACCGTGAATCTTTCTAGTTAGTGTCTGCTTAGGTCTTGTATCGGCTACAAAAAGTTATTTTCGTACTTTTCCTAATAGCCTACAAGCCAAACCAAGAAAAATATTAATTTTGATTTTCAACATAATATGTTTTCTTTTTATATTCATGACTTAATATCATTAATTGTTTAACCTAAGCACACACAAAAAGGAAAAGAAAATACTGTACTATTAAGATAAAATAGTTTTCAATTGAGCTTACCCCAAAGCATTCCATTTTAAAATTTCTATGATAACCTTTTTCTGGAGCTAAATTATATTTACTTACATTTAGATTGTAATTACTCTTACAAAATGAAATTTTAACAGCGTTTTGTTTTGTTGCTTAAATATAATTGTTCAACTTTTTTATTTATCGATTAACTACATCTAGTCAAAAACATTAATAAGATACTTAAAAGCAACGACAGAAAGATAATTTAATATTTTAATGCTTCCTATGAAATAAGCCTTTCTATGTATCCTTCATTTAAACTATCCTGATTTACTCAATCCGTTTTCCCTTGGGTTCTTTGAGGATCAAAGGGTAAACTGAACGAATCGTAAAAAGGATCTAGTTTATTTTATCAACCTAATTACATACTGACTGTCAAGCTTTACTTAAAATTTGTCTTTTCAAATGAGTTAGGTCGGATTTACTTATGAGTCAAAAATCCATACGAGTTTAAATTATTTTTTTAATTTATTCGTAATTTATATTTTTAATCAATCTATAGTGGCTAATGATGTTAGTTGACAGATAAATACAAAATATTCAATTTAGACATGGTTTCCTTAGCTCATTTTCAAACCCAAATTTCGTGAGACGTGTAGCCTCTGGTGGTGTATAATGTTGGTGACTTACTTCCTACAGAAACAATCCGAATTTCAATTACTTCACTACCTCCTGGCGTTCCGGTAATGTCACACCCGTCAAGCTTTAATTATTCCTAGAAACGTACAACCCTACATTTTTCTTTGGGGTTTCAGGTTTTTATAATTTTAACAAATCTGAACAATATTTTTCCACAGTGATTAAGTTAGACTTTTGTCTAGTTTTGTCTAGTCTTTTGTAGTACTGCAGGTCACCACATGCTCGCCATGTCAATTGATTGTCAATCCCCCTTCTCTCTCTTTAATTCCTGGTTTAAAGTGAAGTCAACTCATAGAACAGCCTCAATAGGATCTAAGGCCACTCAAATCATATAATCTTTTCACATTTGGAACTTAGCACGGATATAAAGTTACTGGTAGGCTGAAAGACGACTTTTTAAGATGCATGCAATATTCTAAACAAGTTTAGTTAGGTTTGATTACTTTTAATCCAACTAGTAATGATACGAGTTTAATGAGAGGAGAAAAACACTTTAGGTTATCTCTTTAAAGTACACCTAAAAGTAAGTACACAGTTAAGTAATTAAGCTCCTAATATGGAGACTTTATACAAGCAGAATATTATTTATATAGATTGTGTGATATTTGAGGCTCTACACCCTAAACATTTTATGTTTCAGATACGTTATAATTCAATGGAAGTCAGCATTTCTAACCGCAATCAAATTTATATAAAAATAAAAATATCATTACTCAACATTTATTTTCTATCAGACATCCTGGAACTGTATTATAATATTTTGCATGTATCCAACAACTTTCCATTTGCATTGTCACTCCCCCCACAGTTGTCCTCGGATATGCCTTGTTTATTTATTCAGCCAACTTCCGAAACTACAAAGGCATCCCCTGAGAAATGACCCCAGACACATTGTTTAATTCTCTAGCTTAGTGTTATAGCTAACTTGGTATTTTATTCATGAGTTAATTTACTTAATCCATTGTAACAGTGACAATGAAAAACTGGTAGTAGATGATGATTCCCACTATCATCTGAGTATTCATCAGAAAAGGTATTCTGAAACTAACGCAGAAACAATTTTCTTTCAGAAATCCATTATTGTTCAGGTACGGTTATAAAGCTGGCTTTTAAATCTGAAGGTTTCTTGTCCAATTCCAAACAACATAATTCCTGGAGCAAGAAGTCATTTGTCATTGAGCTAACAGTTCTACAATTAGGATTATAGTTGATGACGTTAGATAATAAAAAGGCCGGGGTTTGTTATATACATTTCCGAAAAAATATTAACATT